TCCAACCTCACTCTGGACAATCCAAACCCATTTTGTTTCATAATGGCCATTCTAAAACAAATACCTAATGTTGGCATGGTCTCCTTTCTTTCTTATTATTCAGTCTACCTCAGAAGCAGTCTATGCTCTAAGAGGTTAGTCCATGAGTGAATTTTGTTCAGCCATGACCATGGATTTCTACATATTGTCCCTTGGCTACAATGCCATACATCTCCTCTCATACATTCATCTAACCCTTCCTTAGTTGAGGCCAAGATCAGGCAGCATTTGTTGGGAGAAAATTATCACTCACTCTCCTCCAACAACCCAGGAATATGTGGCTTTGCTTCTTGCACTTACTAACCTTCAAATTTTCTAATTTTTAGGACTTGCACCTCAACTCTGTTTCTCTGGCACCACTAACACAATGCCTGGAACTGGAACACCAGAGGTTCTCTGTGCATGTTCACTGGATGGGTGAGTGGGTAGTTTCCTCCCCAGTCAGTCAGTTTGGTCTCCATACCTGCAAGTCCCCTCTTTGCTGCTGGAGAAGGAACATAGCAATAACTCCAAGAGAGGTCAGCAGCTCCCCCAAGTTCATCAGCTCACTAAGCTGGTCACAGAGGAACGGCACAAAGCTAAATGTATGTCATAAAGTGCTCACAGCAGGGAGAGACTTGGGAACAACACGATCCATGAAACCTAGAGATACAAGCTAGCTGAATGAATAGAATGTGGCGGCGGCGGCGGTAGAGTGAGCGATGTAACTGATTCCTACTCTAGCCAGTAAAGACACCACTATGCTGATGCTGTCTCACCAGCCATATATGGTGTTTATAGAGAGCAATTCTTTGGGAGTCCCTGATAGGAATCTGTATTCATTTTTATTGCTATGATTTTTAAAAAAAGCACATAATTTCCATTTTAATTCTAGACCCCTCACTGGTAGAATTCATAAACACAGCCCAAAGTGCAGAGCATGAATCTTATTAATTCAGCTGACTCAATTGGTCAAGCTGTTTCTATGCTAAGCCCAAGTATCAAAGACAATAGGGGGAATCATAGATCCGTGCAAATTAAATCTAGCTCCATTTAGAAGAAAAAAGAACAAAACAACAGCAACTCAGACAGTTGGAGGAATCTGTGTTTTCAAAAAGCAGCTGGATGAATGACTTCTGCTGTTATTCAGTTAGCACTCCTTTGTTAAGGGTCAGAGAAAGAAAACTCCCTCCACTTAAATGCGGGCAGGCTCTTGACCACAGGAGAAGTGATGCCCCGCCAGTCAAAGCTAAGCCATAAAAGAGAGTGCAGCTTCTGCTGAATTTCCTTGGGGTTTATTCTTGGAAACATATTAATATATACCATGAGCAATCCAAGTAGATCATGGTAGATATGGAAGATTGGATGTTAGTTCTTTTTATTTATTTGAAATTAGCCCAGACTGATGTGAAGCTCACAATGTTGCCAAAGATGGCCACACATTCACAGTAACCCCCCTGCCCCAGCCTCCTAAACATTAGGATTTTAAGTTTGAGCCAGCACACCTGATATGAGGGAGCCGGTCCCTCTTGGTGTCAGTGTAAGAGACAACCAGACACCAAATTCTCAGCACAAAGATTAATTACTCTGGAAGGGCAAGCAGGCACGGGGGGGGGGGGGGGGGGGGAGAAATAACAGTTTTCAGCAAGTGGGGGCTGGGGGGGGGAGGGGTAAAAGGCAAAACCTGTTGGCGCCATGTTGGCCCAGCTCCAACCTGTTAGAGCCCTTCACCTGGCCTAAGAATGGAACCTGTACACAGATTCTGCTACAGGAGATATTCAAAGAGAGAACCTATGACTGGAAGCTGGGAAGATGGTCCTGATTTCTCTGATGTCTTTTCCTGAAGTATGGTTACTTACCAGGGGCAAAAATACAAGAGTCACTCACTCAGCAGACACACAAAAAACAGCAAAAGCACACAGTGAAATGTCAGCTTTCCACAAGCCAGGTTGAGCACTCTCACCAGAAGCCTGGTTACACTGACATCCCAGATTTGCAGAGTGCAAAAGGTAATAAAGTAGAAGCACTGGACTTTCCGCTGGTGGTGGAGAGACCTTTAGAATCCAGCCCGTACTTCACGAGGAAAAACATGGCATCTACAGCAGAGGGTAAATGATGCCCACACCAAAGCTAACCTCCCAGTTTATATACACTTGCCAGGTATCCAACTAGGCTCCATCTTCAAAGCAGTCTTGGCATTAGTGGTTCTCCATGGGCTGGAGATGGAGCAAAGATCACAGCACTTAGCATGCACAGTGCCCTGGGTTCAATTCCTACCACAGGAAAAAGGAAAGAAAGAAAAAGGCGGTTCTCCAAGTTCTCTAAGTGAGCAGTCTCGGTTGACACAAGGCGGGCGAAAGGCGATCCTTGAAAAATGAACCCAGCCAGGCTCACAGATTCAGGAGCAAAATCAATTACTGTTATCAGTTCAAGCTTAGTAGCTTTTAAATAGCAATAGACACACAACACAGGCATTCTCTCTTCATAAATTGTACCTTATGCTTCCCACATGCTTTCATATTGCTTCCAAAGGACTCTATGAAATATTATATCTTCATATACTATACAATCTAACAAATTTTACCATTCACTTATCAACCTCCTCACATGTACCAGGGCAGGGTTATTTGGGACATCCTTTTCTCAAAATATATTACTTTCAGAACTCTAGAACTTTGATCAGACACGTAAGAAATTCTTGGAACGTATACCCCATGCCGTACATGCTTCTGTTCTGTCCTTTTTCTTTCTATACAGTGTTCTGAGATTTTTCTTCTTATCCTATTTCCCATTCACTAAAACTTTCTTCAGGTGAATTTAATGTCTTATAACAACATCCATCCATCATATGTTGTATGTACTGTCTTTTTCCAGTTCTAGAAGTTTACTTTTTCATATCTAATATACTGTGATGGGTTTTTTTTCCCCCAAAGCTTCTCTTGGCCTGAAATTACTTCAGCATTACCTCTCCTTTATCTTTGTGTAGTCATTCTATACTCTCCATCTGACAGTTACCACATGGGAAGTATTTCAGGTGTATATATTTTCCCTTAGTTCTGCTGGTTCTTGTTGGAGGTATTCTGCTCTCCTTCCTAAGGGTCATAGTTGTTTCTGACTGGGTCCCTGAGGGTATTGCTTTAACCTAAATTCAGTTTTCCGAAGTTCTGTGTGAGATGAATTTGGGGTGCTAATCTGTATGGGGCGAGCTTACAGTATGAATTCCTCAGGAATCTCCCCACTTGTTTTGCTCACAACAGATCAAGACTTTGAAGTCTTTGGGATGGAGGGTGCGAGGCAGCATTATTTGTAATTACCACAAAGGTGCAGTCTGTGGAATCTGAGTCTGTGGAGGACAATGTTCACAGTAGAATCCTCACACTAGGCAGTCATGGGGATCTTTCTTTATCTGAATTCCTTTCTCCAAGCACCACTGCACAACAGTAGCTTCAGCTTATTGGAAAGTTCTGGTCCTCACAACCTCTCTATATGCTATGAGCACTGGTTTTAGTCTCTATGATGGTACGTGAATCACTCATTAGTCCATCTTCATCCATAGCCTGTTCTCATCTGGTCTACTGCTAGCCTTACATCTTTTCCGATTATCAGTGTCACATGAGGACTATCTGACATTTCTTAACACGTCTGCTCTCTGTTCACAATTCCTACTTCACCTCACCCCCCGACATAATGCGACACTATAGCACACAATGAGGAACACAGGTTACATCATTCAAGCTCAAACCCCAGCTCCATCCCCATTAACACACTCCTGTGATGCTACCTATTGTGTCAGGGCCTCCACTTCCTCGTCTTTAACGTGATGGACAATGTTCATATCTCACAGCATCCTAAGAGCTATGTGAGGTAACACACATAAAGCACTTAGAACACATAGTAAGTACTTCATACTTTTTAACTTTTATTACCATATTTTCACCTTATCCCAAAAATATCTTCCTTCTGCGTGGTTATCGTTCACAGAGCACCCCTACCTCATCACTGTTCAGAGTCTATTTGTTCATCTTTGTGAACTTTTCTAGCCTATTATCTATAATGGATTTTCTGGGTTCTACCTCGAACCCTCTCTAACTCCTCCGTTCACTACCCCCAACATACACCAAGTGCTGGGGGCTGAACCAAGAGCCGTGCGCAGTCCGCACTTGACAAGACAAGACAGTCCGCACTTGACTAGACAAGCACTTGACCACTGAACTAGCCCCAGTCCAATTTGCCATCTTAGGCAGAAATAAACCCACTTGGAAATGTAATAGCATTTCTCCATATTAATAACATCACTCAGCCAGGCAGTGGTGGCGCACGCCTTTAATCCCAGCACTTGGGAGGCAGAGGCAGGTGGATCTCTGTGAGTTTGAGGCCAGCCTGGGCCACACAGTGAGTTCCAGAAAAGGCGCAAAGCTACACAGAGAAACCCTGTCTTGAAAATAATAATAATAATAACTGAACTCAAAAAATAATAATAATGTAACCTAGACTATCGCATTGCCAGCATCTATCCATTCACTCTGTTCTTGCTTTGGGTGTTTCATCTTCAATAACTCTAGCCACCAGAACACACTTCCAACCTTTAAACTAGAGCAAGTTATACAAACATGAGGTAAATTTACTAACTAAATACAATTTGACAAGTTAGAAACAAGTAGGATGCCAAAAGGTCTCTATAGAGACTCCTGCTACCACGGACCCAAAGCATTACATTCCACCAAGGTTCCTAATGATGAAAAGGCATCTAAGTGACTTCATCAAGGAAGGGCCATCTCCATGAAGAGCCCTTAATCTTTAGGAGATTTCACATCAAAACCCATGGCTTTCCTGTGCTCACTTGAAATGCAAAACTGGTCACTGGGACTACCCTGGGGCACATTCATGTTGATAGCATAGTATAAAATAATAATATTAATGGTGTATCTTCACTTATGTGAGTATGGGAATGAAATCAGCCAATTGTGAGTAGGAAATATTACCAGTTCTCGGAGAAGGTGCCCTTGCGATTTCTAGGGAGCACGGTTTCTTTGTAACAGCTGTGTCCATGAGATCACAAAGAAAGTTCTCATTTTCTGAAGGAAATGTGTCCAGAGAGGCAGATGGTACGATTTCCATGGTGTAATTCCTCTTCTTTGGATAAGACTCCTGAAAAGGAGAGGTAATAAAAAGCTTTTTTAATAAAAATACAGCCTTGTCTGATTTATAAAAATCAGAAAAGGGAGTTGGGTCCCTCAGTTGTTATCAAATTGGCTAAGAACTGATGCTCTGCCTATTGAAAAGGTCCTATAACCATGTGTTATCACTGATAGTGTTTAAAGAGTTCCTACCATTTAGTTAACCTGGATTTCCATTAGTCACTAACAGTCTTGATCTTCCTCTGTTACATTTATCTACTTCCTAGCCACAGAGTAAACAGCTTTAATCAACAACCATTTCCCAGACCCTCCTCTTTGCCTGCTACCTAGAGATAGCCATGTAAGTCACCTTTGGCCAATTAAACATAAGCACAATTCTCTGGAATGCTTCTGAAGGGATGGTTTTCCCCAGAGAAGATTGTGAGGAGGCTACTACCCCTAGGATCTTCTCTGGGGGAGAGGAAGACTGTATTTTTCACTATAATTCAAACTCAAGAACAAAATGATAAAAACCCAGAAGTTGCAACATTCAGCTGAAAGTGCTTGGTACCCTTATGACATCATTGGGTTGCTTGAATAGACCTAGAACCAATTTCTTCAGGCTTTGTACATACATATTAGCATCCTTATAGTTTTCATTGCTATTTGAGTTTCCTCTCAGAATTATAAGTATCCCATCCAACATATTAATATTTTTCATTGTAAATACTGTTGACTATATAATGATTGCACTATGGCTAACACTTATTAAGGTTAGGATACAATTTAGATCCAGATTTTATGTTACTATGTCTTCAATATATTCTAAATTCCACAGTTCAATTAATTGTATAACATCTTAATTTCTTATGAATAATGAATTAACAGGTTACCAATAATTATTGGAGCTTCTGTGTGTGTGTAGTGTGTGCGTGTGTCGGGGCGGGGGGAGACTATATTAAGCAATAGCATTAGTTTGTTTTTTTATTTTTTTTCCTTAATTGGCAAGACATAGTTCTTGCTCTCAGGGAGTTCATAGTCTACTTGAGAAGGCAAATTATCTGCACAATGAATTTCAGAATGAACCTCATTTTATTCCTTCTATTTGTTACCTTATAAAGTACACTTCACAGCTGAGAAACAAATAACAAGAAAATAAACTCATTTTCAGAAAATCTTCCAAGATATATTCCAGGGTTGATACAGATTTAGTGTGAGCTCCTACTTTCTCTATAATGATATTTACACTAAGTGGAATTCAAGGTCAGGGTAATTGCTTTCAGACCACACCAGACCCTCACACATCAAAGAGTCAATTATGTTCACTCTGCTCTATTGAGAGCAGGAAATTGGGAGTAATTTATTTTTAACAACAAAGGGTGACAAAGTAGAAAGGATCCAGAGGAAGCAATCAAGAGGGTATTTGCTTTAAAACCCATGTCAGAGAAAAAAAATGATGAAAGGAGCCACAGTGTTCTATCCAGAGAAGCCGCACAGCTACACAATGCTTTTCTCAACCTAGCTGAAAGGCTCTCTCTGTCACTGCAATCTCACAAAATGGAGGGAAAGGCAAAGCTCTTAAAAGGCAAAAAACAGAAAGAAAAAAAAGACTAATGTTTATAAGACAAGAAGAGGAAATTTGGGTCAATAACCAAAATAACTTTTATGAATTAAAAGTATTACTTTTCTTATAAAATAAACACACATTGGTCAAATAAGCTAACAAATGGGACTAGACAGCAACAGAATAGACTCTCCATTACTGGCAATCCCCAACTCATCCTCTGTGGATAAGACGATGGATGAAGCCTATGTCGCGGGTATACCAGATGACTCTGCTCTGTGCACTGTGTCTTCTGCAGCACTCTGTATCTAGAATCTGCTGCAGGTCCTGCCACACAGCAGGAGAGGAGTGAGCCCTGTGCATCAGCTGGACAGTCTTGTGTTCTTTAAGCAGATGTAACTACTGTCATCCAAATGATTTCACCTTTTTGTCAGTTTGTTATTGATTACTTCATTCCCTTTCAAAAAAGATTCTCCAATATTATCCCAGTTGAAATGGCAAATATCAACAAAACAAGTGACAATAAGTGCTGGAGCAAGTATGGGGAAATAATAATAATAATAATAATAATAATAATAATAATAATAATAATAATAGAATTCTCAGCCTTGAAAATGAAGTAAATGAAGTCTCCAGCTAAAACCCTACACTAAATGTATCAGAACAATTCATGGACTTGGGAAAGTTGCAATGTCACTATTTATAAAGAATTATTATGATTTGTAAATCCTTAAAAATGACTTGGAAGTTTAATTACTAAGGATGAACTAATTTACTTTCTCCATGTGTTAATACACAGACTGATTCCAAACCTTGATTTCTGTGAATAGGGCTACAATAAACATGGGAGAGCATCATAACATCTCAACACACTGATTCTGCATCCTTTGGGTAGATACTCAGTAGTGGAATAGACCATTCTCAACATTTTTTAATTTTTTGAGAAACTCTATACCACTTTCCATAACAGCTGCATCAACTTATATTCCATCTAGTGGTGTGCATGGGTTTCATTTTCTCCATATTCTCCCAAAACTAATAGATTTTTATCTTTTTCATATTAGCCATTCTAAAGGCTATGAGATCTCACTGTAACTTTGATGTGCATTTTCCTGGTTATTAGGCAGGGGCATTATTTATACCTATTAGTCATCCTATATATCTTCTTTAAGGACTGGCTATCCAGGTCCTTTGTCCATTTGAAAGAGTTAATTGTTTCCAACTATGGAGTTGAGTGCCCAGTATGCTGATACAGACCCTGTATATGATGTACGGTTTACAAATACTTTATCCTACTCCATCCATTGCCATTTCACTGTGCTCTTCCCGTTGCTGTGTGAAAGCCATTTAGCCAATGTCATTCACTTGTCTACTCTGTTTTCGTTAATTATTTGGTACTTAGATAAAAAGGTATTTTCGTATTTTCCCAGACCAATATGGTGGCGGCTTTATCAGTTTTCTTCTAGTAGATTTACAGTTTCAGGTTTTATGTTTTAAGTACATTTCAAGTTCACTTTTGCAGCCAGTGTGAGATGAAAATCTAAGGTAATTCTTCGTGAGGCATCAGGTTTTCCACAACAATTTATTGTAGAGACTGCCTTATTTTCTGTTTTGAGTATCTCTGTATCTATAATTATTTTAACCTTCAAGAATTTTGCATCAGTAAATCATGGTGTAGCCCAGGCTGACCTCAAACTTTTCAAAATCCTGCCTCAGCCTCTCAAGTGCTGAGGTAATGGTCATAAATCATATATATTAATATAAATTATGTATAAATTTTATAACCTGTTATTTACTTCCAACAATGTCTTATGAACTATATTCAATAGTAAATATACTTTGTCCTTGATTTATGATGTTTAACATGAGTTTATGACTCTATGATATACAAGAGCAACATGTATGCATAGGAACTATACTCCAAATTTAGTTTCATCTTATCTTAGGCTAGTGATATGTAGTAGAACACTCCCTTCTGATGTTCCTCAGTGACAGCAAATTACAGGTCTCAATGAACCACATGGTCAAAAGAGTAAATAAGTTTTATACTACAATATATTTTACTGCTAAGCTGGGATGCCTATAAGAAAGTAAATGCACCTTTGGCTTAGAATATTGTTAACTTTCGCTGGGTTTACCAAGATATGACCAATATATGCATATGTTGAATGCATCTGTATATGTTCAAATGATAAATTTAACATTACCTTCCAGTATACATAACTTAGCCAGTTCTATCATATTGAAATTTAATGTTTTGCTCTTTAAAAAAATTCTTATTTATACAATTTGTTTATATGCTCCACTTTTCTGAAATAGAATTCCCACAACAAACGGTATCTACCATATGCATACGTAAAGTCAAATCTGTTTCTGAATTTTCTAATTCGCTCCATATGTCAGTCTGTTCTAGTACTGGCATCATACAGTTTTGATTACCAGAACCTTAAAATTAATTTTACTACCTGGTAGGGTAAGTCTCTCTTCACATTCATCTGTGTCAAACCATTCACTGTCATCCTCATGTTTATTTTAATGCATTAACATTTCCTAAGTTCTTAAACAGTTCTCTATGCTTTCTCCACTACCAATAAATGACACTTCCATACAGCAGGTCACCTAGAGGAGCTAGCCTTTGTTTCTTATGCTTCCTCGGTGTGATTCCCAGTCAGTCAAGTGCTAAACCTATCTCTCATTGAGTGCTACCTCAAACAAATTCATTTCTGTCGACTCCACTTTGTGCAGATAACCAGTGCATCTCATTTGAACTGCAAGAGCAGCTTCCAAACTAGCCTCTTGCCTCCAAGGCTGCTTTTTTCATAGTTATTTTACTCCCAAATACTCATATGAGGCAGTTAAGGGTTAGACATGTTCCAATTATTGATTATACTTCTATGAGAGAATAGCAAATGCTATGATGGCTTTAGTACATGCTGATACTAAGCAAGATCTCATAAAACATCTCAGAATTCTTCTTACTGGGTAATTTCATTGAAGAAATTGTGATCTCTATAGTAATCACATTCATATAACAAGAGCTAGACAAATAAACCAAGGTATGGTCTAATAAGTTGAAGCATAATCCTGTTATTATGATAAATAGTCTTAACATTTAAAGTGTTTGTCTAGCATTTAGCAAAGTTCCATGTGGACAGCGGGACAGTGAATACATGCTGAAGAAAATGAATACATAAGAGAATTCATTATTTTGTGTTCTAGCCTGCTTCTTCCACTTACACAAGAGCCAAGGCCATCTTCTTTAAAAGGTATACGAACACTTAACAAAGTTTTGTTTAATTAAGTCTGAGACAAAGCCATTCAAGAACAATCATACATCCAGATCACTGTAGGGAGAACAGCACTATATATTTGTGAAATCTGTTGTGTTCTGTAAAAAGAACCATATTTTATTTACCCAAATGATTCTCATTTAGTGCTCACAAAAATTGATTTAATCTTCATTCAGA